ATTGGAGGCAGATTGGAGGCAGATTGGAGGCAGATTGGAGGCAGATTGGAGGCAGATTGGAGGCAGGTTGGAGGCAGGGTGAAGAGGAGGAGGAGGGGAGGCGGTGGTTGCGAGGCTTCGAAAAGGCAGAGAGTGGGAGTTGCTCCGCTTTTAAGCGGCTGCCTGTCCGGCACGGATGATTGGAAGGGGGCGTTTGCCGAGCGATAGGCTGGGGAAGCGAACCGGCCTGGAGGGGGTAGCTTTTGGCTGACGTCTACCAAATTGAATTTTCGCGAGCTACATTTCAATTTGGAGAGACGAGAAACGAAAATGGTTTTGAGTATTTATTGAGGTGGTTTGGCGCCCTAGGCCCCGGTGCGGCCTTCAGATCGGAGAGGCTCCTGCGATGGAGCGCGTACAATCCCCAAAAAGGCTGAGTGTGTTGATGGAGTTTTGCAGCCTGGTTTGCAGGGAACAGACGTCGTGGCTACTCTATGCTGTGACCGCTATCGCTATGCTGTGACCGCTATCGCTATGCTGTGACCGCTATCGCTATGCTGTGACCGCTATCGCTATGCTGTGACCGCTATCGCTATGCTGTGACCGCTATCGCTATGCTGTGACCGCTATCGCTATGCTGTGACCGCTATCTCTATGCTGTGAACCGTTTATGCGCTAACCATTTTTTGCTATGCTGTGACCGCTAACACTAACGCTATGACCGCTACCACTGACGCTATGACCGCTATCACTGACGCTATGACCGCTATCACTGACGCTATGACCGCTATCACTGACGCTATGACCGCTATCACTGACGCTATGACCGCTATCACTAACGCTATGACCGCTATCACTATGTGCTGTGACCGTTATATGCGGTTATCTTTGAGTGCCGGGACGTGAGCGCTCGCATCACGATCAACCGGACGCTGCGGCAGGGTTATCTTTGAGCGCTGGGACGTGAGCGCTCGCATCACAATCAACCAGACGCTGCGGCAGGGTTGTCTTTGCGCGCTGGGAACGTGAGCGCTCGCATCACGTTCCGTCAGACGCTGCGGCAGCGGAGAGTGTTTGAGAGAAGTGCGTGCCGCCACCAGAATCTTATTGGTTCACTTACTTTGCTTCGTATTGCTTTGCTGGGAGCTTACGAGGAAGCCAGTTGACGTTGTGCAGGCAGGATAGCGGACGCGTCTGGCCTGATGTAGGCGGAGAAAGCCGCAGAGGACCGGCGCCCCAGCTGTTGCAGAGAGGTGTGGGGGAGCCCCAGCGAGGCCGCGATGGTCCTGGAAATAAACCCCCCAAAACCCACGGAAGGGGCACGTCCGTGTAGAAGCCGAGACCTGGAGGGGCAGAGACATATCGGAGAGGGCCATGAAGTTGCAGGCGCCCTTACGCTTAGAATCTTGGGTTGGAGAGTAGATAATCAGGATAGTAGGATGGTCGGGAAAAGCCGTGTCTCGGACCGCACGAAGGTTGAGTGTGCAGTAGTGAACGCTTATGCAGAGAAGCCATGGAAGGCGAGCAGGAAGATGCTGCGAGGAGGGCAGACATGTACTTGGAAGATGAGCCGGAGTTCAGTGCCGCTGCAGGATGGGCAGCATGATGGGGAGCCTGCGATCAGAAGAGTGAAGAACACGGTATGGATGCCTTTGATTAGGAGTCCAATTGACGGCTCAGCGCAGCTACTCGGCCAGCTGCATCTGATAGAATCAGAAGATTAAGTAGAGAGATGAAGCACGACCGCCGAAGTGACCCCTGGGAGCATAGGTGCGAGTCCAGTGCCGCGCGGCATACTCGGCCGGGCTGCATCCATTAGAAGCAGGATAAGCTTCTGAGAGAGTGGGTTGCAGCAGTAGCAGTAGCAGTAGCAGCAGCGGCAGTAACCTCAGATAATAACGGCAACGACCTGTATCAGCCGCGGCAGCAGCAGCTGCTGCATCCGTAGATAATAACGGCAAAACCCTGTATCAAAGCCACGGCAGTAGAATATGTTGTAGCTGTTTAGTGTTTCAGTAAGAGAAGCGAAGTGAAGAGAGATGACGAAGTACATGAAGCAGCAGCAGCACGGCAGTAGTAGCAGTATGAAGCAGCAGCGGCAGCAGTAGCAGCAGTAGCGGTAACAGTATGAAGCAGCAGAAGCAGCATTAGCGGGAGCAGCAGCACCACGAAGCACCTTCAAAATGCAACACTGCAGTTAGTTACCTAATTTAATACCAGCGACCTAGCTATTTAATGCATGGTTTTACTGCAAGTGGCAGAACATGATCTGAATTAATGCACATAGCTCCTCGTATATCCCTCAGACGATAGAGATTGATGCCATTTAATATGCATTGCCCCTCGGTTAGCTCAGACACATGTGAAACGGAGCCTGCAGACCAAGCTCGGGGCGAAAAAAAACTGGCGCCTGCAGTCAAGTGCGTAGGGCAAAAACCAATCGCCTGCAGCCCAGAACTCCGGGATTAATCTGTCCGCGGTCAGCACACTCACTGTACTCACATGCCAGGAGACTTGGGAAAGCAACGGGACAACGCGGCACCGCCAGACCTTCTGCGTGCGGCAGCAGACCACGAGGAACGAGCCGCACAGAAACCCGCGGAGGGCCCCGCGGAGCAGCCCGCAGAAAGAGCCCGCAGAGGAGGAGAGCAGTGGAGATATGCGAACCACAGCAGGTGCAGGGACGTGGAAGAGGAGCAGACCAGTGCAGGGACGCGGAGGAGGAGCAGACCAGTGCAGGGACGCGGAGGAGGAGCAGACCACAAGCAGCCAGACGGAGGACGCCAGGGACGCGCCGAGTAGCGTGAGTAGACGAAAACGATTCCTCCAGACGATTCTCTGCAAGGCTTCAGGAGCTTGCGAGGCTTCGAAAAGGCAGAGAGTGGGAGTTGCTCCGCTTTTAAGCGGCTGCCTGTCCGGCACGGATGATTGGAAGGGGGCGTTTGCCGAGCGATAGGCTGGGGAAGCGAACCGGCCTGGAGGGGGTAGCTTTTGGCTGACGTCTACCAAATTGAATTTTCGCGAGCTACATAATTAATACATTAAAATTATTTATTTATTTGGCGCATTGACGCTGACAGTGAGGTGTAGGCGGAGCAGGAGCCAGAGAAGGAGCCAGAGCAGGAGCCAGAGAAGGAGCCAGAGAAGGAGCCAGAGAAGGAGCCAGAGCAGGAGCCAGAGGAGGTGCTGGGGAGGTGGTGGGTGTTAAGAGCTCCAGGAAGCGCTACTTGTCAGGAAGTGGATGCCTTTTAAACTGGCGCTTTGCTGTCAGAGGGTTGGCAGGAGGCTGGCCGGGCTGTGTGATTGGCAGAGGCTCGAGGCTGGTAGAGCTGTGTGATTGGCTGAGGCTCGAGGCTGGTAGAGCTGTGTGATTGGCTGAGGCTCGAGGCTGGTAGAGCTGTGTGATTGGCTGAGGCTCGAGGCTGGTAGAGCTGTGTGATTGGTTGGCTTGGAAGGGGGAATTTGCACTCGGTCTTTCAGTATGAATTTGTGCGTTCAGCTTCATATAACTGTTAAAATTTCAAAAATATTTATGCACACATGCAAATTTGGCAGTACTAAACCTGTATTTTTGGTCTTTCTAAAAGAATTGTGTAGTTTAAAGGATTTTTCAAAAACGTTGTAACTCTAAGAAGGCTTTTTGATAATTAACTTGAAATGTGTTTGATCCTTCCTCAATGACGGTGGCTCTTTATGTTATTTGTTGAGTTCTACACTTGAATTTTGCCTTTTTGTGCTCTTATTGGAATGTATTTTGGAGATGTGTTGGCCTGTTAGCATAATTTGTTAATAAAACAATGAATAATAAAAACAAAAAACCGGTATAATTTCAAAAGTCAAGGAGCCATCTTAAACAAAAGAACAATAGCTGCTCATCATTTTGTGGAGATTTTGTGGCGGTTCAGAGGCGAGGATTTGAAACTGCTTTTGTCCAGGGATAAACTGGTTATCGCCTTATCAGCTAAGACCCGGAGAGATGCGGAGCCCATGCCTGGCCCCACCAACGCATGCCTGATATTTTTAGCTTATACTCTACCTTCTTACTGATGTGCGGAGGTATGACAAGTGAACTTAGGAATGACACATGTACAATCCTGCCCTGAGAATTGAGAATATAGTGCTGCTGAAGAAAAAATACAAATAAACAGACATTTAAAGAAATAATTTGCTTTATTCACATAACAGCTTTACATTCCTCTAATATCATGCCACACTGCCTCTTCTTGTATTTACAAATGTATAACTCATTTACTCGGAGTCATCTCTGCTGTCGGTTTGTCTAGCTCCAAATAGTTCTTTTACAGATTTCATATTCTACAACACACCTCTGTGGACTGGGTGCAGCTCTGACTGCCACCCCCCCAACCCAGAAATGGATTAAGGGGAAGAAGATGGATGGATGGATGGACCTCAGTTCTCAGTCGAGGCAGCTTTTGAAATCAACAATAAATCCTTTCACAGTGATCCCATTTACATTAAATGTGTTTGATAAAAAATATTCTCACCAGATAATGTATTTGGTTTTAACTTGTGGATGTTGCTTGTTTCTCAACCTGAAGCTCCTGTCTCCTTCTCTGTGTCCTCCTCTAGACTCTTAGCACCAGCAGCTGAGGGGAGGATGAGCTTTGTGGCGTCTAGATTCTATACTCTTCAAATCATGCATAGATCAAACAAGTCTTATATACAATACATACAACATGCTTCCTGTAGGTTTTCAAAACTAAGAGTTCTGAATTTGGAGCTAACACCATTTAAAGCACTTTCAGTGGCGTGAGGGGTCTTCTCTCTTGTGTTGCTCTGGGAGGTTTGGGTTTTGTTTGCTAATAGTCAATAGAATATTTCTTGCACTTTCTCATAACTGTAAGATTCACAACGTTCTGAAAACGACCGGACCTAAATGCAAACGAACACACCTTCAGAGTTGGCGTTATTCTCATCTTTGCTTTCCATCAATGTTCTTTGCCCTTGTGTCTCTGGAGACTCATGGAGAGTTGATCAGCGCTGGTTCAGATCTGGTCTGCTCACATAATTACACATGTGCCAGACTTCTGGCTCTCTTCTCCTCCTGCAGGCGCTTCTTTCCTGTTGGGGTCATTGAGCTCCTCGAACAGTCCACTTTCCATCATCTCCTTCTGCCACTGGATGGGCACCGCCCCAGTGCCGAACTCTTTGAAGAACTTCTCATCATTGTTATCCAGCACCACGCCCTTAATGTCTGAGAACTCTGCAATGTCTCCTGTGTCTTTAGCGTACACTACATTGGGCTTGGGGACCCAGGGAGGGGTGGTGAGGCCGGCCTCCAGACGAGGGAAGTTGATGCTCTTGAACCACTCATGCTTCCGAGGGTCTTCCATGTTGTTCCTGAAACAAGCACAAACAAATGTCAGAGAAAACAGTGAGAATCTGTTGGTTATTGTCAAATGTCACACGTTGCATTATATCCCACAATAACATCATCATTATTATCATGAACTTACTTAACACCCAATCGTTCTTCCATCTTCTTCTTGAGGAACTGTTGGATGATGTCTTTGGTCGCAGCATCAAAGCAGCGGTGGTCCCACGAGGGCTCCTCATTCTGGATTCTCCGCTGCACTTCCTCCTTCTCTACTTTCACTTTCAGGCTGTCGGGCCCTTTGAACGGAGTGTAGCCTGCGACCATCTCATAGATACTGCAGCCCAGAGCCCACCAGTCCACCGAAGTCCGGTACGGGGTCTTAGTCAGGAGCTCAGGGGCCATGTAGGCTCCAGTACCAGCCTGTGGATAGAGACCATCGTCACTTAGAAAGTCATTTATTATGATCTCTACAAAGCATCAGTCAGACCCTGAATGGCCTTAGACAACAGTAGAATGAGGAAAATGTTGAATTCTTTCAAACGAAGGCCTCAACTTGAAGGAGAGTTAAATCTTTTACTCTGATCTTTGTCCAATGCCCTTCGGTGTCCCCTGCCCATCCCACTGTGACCCTTGTCCCAGGGGACTTGGCTCTAATCCTAATCCTACCTGTCAGGAGTCATGTGCGTCCTCTCAGAGTTGTACTAAGACTTACATAAAGGCTGCTTCTGCCGCACTCCTCTGGGATATAGAGCATACTATATGTTTAAGACTTCACGTCCCTTGTCCGTGTGGCTTCTACAGATTTACCTACTTATCTAAGTGTAACAAAACAATTCACTTTTGGAATTGCCGATAACTTATGGCGTAGTTGCAGTGTGTAAGAAGTGTACTTCTTTAATTCAACATTTTGACAGACAGAAGAGAAGAAGAAATATGAATTAAATGAATTAATTGTCATTGTTTACCTGGATCTGTCAATCTAATCAGGGACAGACTTGTGTAATGCCCTGTAAGAGGATTGGACGAGCAAAGCCAGCTCGCTCCAGTCACTTTGGCGGCTGTAGGAGCGTCGGCGAACTTAATGAGCTTAGCATAGAGCCACAGGCTTTAGTTCTGCGATAGACTCCAGAAAGGGAAAAAACGTATTGTCTTAACAATCTTCAATGATTATGTATGTTCTATGTCTTATATTTATTTGTTATTTGTTGAAAATGAATAAAGGTTCATATATAAAGGTTGTAAAGACAATGCCATATTCCTTGATTTTATTGTTTGTCTGTTTGAATGATAATCTGTGTAAAAGTCCGATTAGAGAAACTAATACTTACACACTCTCAGTAGTCAGGGTCACTTCCTTAGTAGAAGGCCCCAAAACTGATATGTTTAACTTGACCACATCATTTCTAAATATATAATTATATAATGTATACACAGAAACACAAGATGTTCTGGCAAACCCTTATCCCTTTTCTCATTGGACACATTTAATCTCCCTTTTATATAATTTCACAATGATAAAATATTTCCCACAAACTAATGACTTTTGTTTGAGTCACGGCAGGAGAAGGTTTCGTTTCATGCAGAAAAGATCCAGTGTGACCCGAAACCCTAAACCTGTAACTATCTTTGTTAATGACCTTTAGTTACAGACCTGGGGTTTCTGACTGAGGCAGGAACGTTGATACTCACCATCTGAGTGACGGTCTTTCCAGGGACCACCTCGATGGCCAGACCCAAGTCAGAGAGTCGGCACTGGCCTTGGCTGTCGAGGAGGACGTTTTCTGGCTTCATGTCTCGATAAATGATATCCATTTCATGCAGATGCAGGATTCCACAGGTGATCTGTGCAGTGTAGTAGACCACACGCTTCATCTCGATGCCCTTATCCACTCCTTTGCCATCGTAGCCCAGATTGTAAATGTGGTATTTGAGGTCTCCTCCATTCATCAGCGTCATGACAAGGCACAAGTGGGTCTTACTGTCGTAAGCATAGGCCAGATTCACCAGAAACAGACTGTTGACCTTCTCCAAGATCTTCTTCTCAAGCAGGGCCATTTTCTCACCGCCCTTTTTCTTCAGACGCCTTTTCTCCAGCTTCTTGCAGGCGTACATCTGGCCTGTGTTTTTCACCTGCACTGCACACACCTGAAGACAAAGTGTTCATGTTAATTAATTTGTGTGATTCTGTGTGTTAGTATTTTTATTTCACAATTGTTCAGTTTCTGATCACCAAGTATCAAATCCGATACTTATCCATCTCCTTTCACTCTTTCCCGGTCACAGAGGCTGACTCCACTTTCACCTCCTGCAGCTTATTTGGGAATCCCTATGGCCACCCCCCCAGTGGGACATGGAAGACCTTCCTGGGGTGGCATCGGAAATGGATGCCATGTCATGTCAGTTAACATGAACATGAAGGAGCAGCAGCTCTACCCCGAGATCCCCCTGCATAACTGAGCTCCTCACCCTATCTCCTAAACTGGGCATAAACTGTGCAGTTTGTCTGCCACAATGTTTGTTGCACAACATTTTTAGGGCTACACCGAAATTTCTGTTCTGTGTATCTGACTCGTACTTTGTGTGTGGGGGTTACGAGCTGCTGTCAGAGCTGTACACATTTATAAATATGATTGTAGAGAGTCTGGAGGCCGTGGGAAGGCCACATTATATCCACTGGACCGAGCAGAGCCCACAAGCCACAAAAGTTTTTTAGTGCTACTGTTAACGGTTTGCTATTGTTTTGATGATATGTTTTTGAAGTGTACATATTCGCACCATGTGAGTTTGAAGACAATATTGCACAGCAATCTGCCCAACTTAAAGGAGCGTCCAGCCACTCTGAGGAGGAAACTTATTCCTATTGCTTGTATCTGCTCAAGCTCATGAGCATAGGTGAGGGTGGGAACGTAGATTGACCTGTAAATGGCCAGCGAGTTTTGACTGCAGACGCTGCTCCTTTTCACCACAACAGTACGACACGGCAACTGCATCACTACAAATGCTGAACCAATCCATCCATCAATCTCAAGCTCGACTCTTCTCTTCTCTCGCCGTGAACAAGACCTAAAATACTCCTTCACTTGAGCCTCTACAACGCCTGGAGATGTTCCAGGAAACATTCAGTAAGTAGAGACTGGGGATGAACCCACCTCCCAAGGACATAGTAAAGAACTTCAAACCACACATAATTTCATTTACTTTTAGAAAATATAATAAACAGCATATGACAAAAAAAGTGTAAAAGTCTTTTAAATAGTGTTGTATGTTGCAACAGTCCTTATGATCTCTTATGCAATGGGGCTAATCCTTCTTAGCCCACAGAGACATTTGTTTGCCCTCTCATTGAAAAAGCCCCAAATATTAACGTAAGCCTGATACTGATATAGAATCTGCTCCTCTTGACCTGAGACTTTCTCCAGTCTGACTGAATACTGATCCTTTCGAGGCCAATCACAACACTGATCTTAGCTCTTGATCTTGATCTTTTAAAAATCGCAAGCTAAACAGAAAAAGTGTGACGCCTTAAGACTGTAAAAGAGATAGAGACCTGCTAAAATCACTAACGGTGATACATAGAAAATGACGTAAGTAACATGTAGGGAAACTGAAGTCGTCTGCTACTGTTCTGTTCCTTTTCAATCAACTGAGACCAATCACAGTAGTTCTATGTCATAATCATAGTTAATTATGACAATGCACGACTTTTTTAACCATCACAAAATATACCACTAAGTATTTCCAGCTCCCACGCAATTAACTGTAAGGTTATTTCAATTCCCCTTTTTATATCAACCAAATCTTGATTTTCTGAGAGTTTTGCTTAAATTGGCTGATCAATAATCTCTGATATCTTATTGTATACATCGTTTGCTCCCAATTAATTACTAGCCAGGTGCATAGGTGCATGATCTTTATTCTAACTATGGTTTTTTGTGACAACTTTGATTGTATATTAAAGAAACTAACAGTTAACGCCATGTCATGTGCATCTATGTGGGTTGAGATGTGTCCGTTGAGTTTGGTCCTACCTCTCCAAAGCCACCTTTTCCCAGAGTCCTGAATTCATAGAAGTATTTGTCGCTGATGGGTTGCTTCTCAAACTCCTTCCACTGGAGAAACTTGTCAAAGAACGGGCTGGCCTGGTACTCTGTGAAGGGCTTGCCTTTCAGAAACTCTCTTGTTCCTTCCTGGACTGGCCCCTTCATCACCTCATCGAAGTTGGATTCCGTCACACTCTTACACTTCTCTAATGCAGGGCCGGTCAAGAAAGACAAGAAGGTTTTGGCGTCAGGTTTGGTGTACTTTTTGATGATATCTTGGCATGCTTTGGTTTTTTGACCCCCCTCAGCCAGATCCCAATCGTAAAGGTCATCCAAGAAATCGGCAGCGGCCTTGTAATCGGCTTTGCTGGCAAGAAAATCACGAAAATACTTCTTTCCGATCGGTTGTCTTTCGCAAACCATGACAAAGTCCAGCTCTATAGTGGTTCGCAAGGGAACACATTGCTCCGGTTTGGGCAGAGACAAGCTCCGGCGGCGTTTTTTCATTTCCTTGTCATCTCCACCCTGAGCCTTTAGGTAAGCCGTGTTGGCCACCAGGTTATCGAGACCCGCCATGTCACACATCTTGGCGGCTTTTTGGCTGGTCTCTCTCCTCTAAGAAACTGGAATGTTGAAAGGTTTGCCCCACAGATGGTTGCCCCGTCCCAGTGCCGGTGGAAGTGTGGCAGGCTCGCTCCCTGCAGCAGCCTACCTGTAAAAGCTAAGACATCGACACACCCCGTAATTACTCATTTAGAATTAAATACCTGGGAGGGATTTTGGCTTAAGATCTTTGTGTAGGCTATTCAAGGATGCAGTGCACAGAAAGGGAATCGTAAACGGCTCTGTCCTAAGAGGCTTTCTTGCTCGCTATATTTATGCCAGTGCACTGCAATCACTATGAGGTGGGCTGTGTTGACGGTGCATGTGGGCACTGGAAGAACAATAAAAGAGCCGCAGAAGAGAACCGGATTGAACTCTGAGGAGGACATGTTTCAGTTGACCTCTTGAGCCACTTACATACCGCAGTGATGCAGGACGTTCATTCTCTGAAGATCAAACTCATTTGGATCAGATGCAGGGTAAAAAAAGAGGAAGAGGTTGGGGGCCGAAAGACTAGAAGGGATTTCCTTTATATATATTTTTTACATTAAGGAGGTATTTTGACATTATTTTAATGTGACATAAGATTCACTATTATTTTCTGGATGATTATTCTGAAAAATTGTTTTTTGTTTAGATTTAACCAAAACTGGACACAATCTGAAGCTAAACATACTTCAAACTATGTGTTAAGATGAATGTAGTCTCCTGAGAAAATAGATTATGTATAACATGCCATGGTCGCCCATTATCATCCATGCCTCAAATTAATAATAGTGATTGAAAATAATTTTAGGGGCCACTTCAAATGGTCTTGTGGCATTCTATTCACAAGATTTAGATACATTTAGATCAGTTGCATTAACAACTTGTTGTCACACGACGATTCCTTTTGGCTGCAGTCCCATGTTTAGAGTCCACTTGAACTTTGCTTCACTGTAACACTGTTGTATAATCTTATTTTAGTAACTTTTAATCCAGGATTTAAAGTCTTGAACGGAAAGTGAAAGAGAAGAAAATGTAGAGTCCAGAAAAAAAAAAATTGGTGACAGTAATTATTTTCAATTATTGTGACATATTTTTCAAACAATAAAAAAGACATTTAAGTGGGGCATGCATCATTATTCATGTCTTTTGGGGAGACAGACTCTGTGTCGGACTCTGTGTCGGACTCTGTGTCGGAGACTGTGTCGGACTCTGTGTCGGACTCTGTGTCAGACTCTGTGTCAGACTCTGTGTCGGACTCTGTGTCGGACTCTGTGTCAGACTCTGTGTCAGACTCTGTGTCGGACTCTGTGTCGGACTCTGTGTCAGACTCTGTGTCAGACTCTGTGTCGGACTCTGTGTCGGACTCTGTGTCGGACTCTGTGTCAGACTCTGTGTCGGAGACTGTGTCGGACTCTGTGTCAGACTCTGTGTCGGACTCTGTGTCGGACTCTGTGTCGGACTCTGTGTCAGACTCCGTGTCGGACTCCGTGTTGGACTCTGTGTCAGACTCTGTGTCAGACTCTGTGTCGGACTCTGTGTCGGACTCTGTGTCAGACTCTGTGTCAGACTCTGTGTCGGACTCTGTGTCGGACTCTGTGTCAGACTCTGTGTCAGACTCTGTGTCGGACTCTGTGTCGGACTCTGTGTCGGACTCTGTGTCAGACTCTGTGTCGGAGACTGTGTCGGACTCTGTGTCGGACTCTGTGTCAGACTCTGTGTCGGACTCTGTGTCAGACTCTGTGTCGGAGACTGTGTCGGACTCTGTGTCGGACTCTGTGTCGGACTCTGTGTCAGACTCTGTGTCGGACTCCGTGTCGGAGACTGTGTTGGACTCTGTCGAACTCTGTCAGATCAGATGGGGATTTGTGAACAGGAGTTTCCAGGTCTTTCCACAGATTTTCAATTGAATATAGTTCTGGACTTTTGGCTTTAAAACATTCAACATAAACAAACAACATCATTTCATAATAGTTCACTTCCATAATAAAAACGTCCGTGTTTTATCCAAAACATAATGTGTCTTATCCAAACTGTCTGTGATATGTATGTTACTGCTCTCTGCTGTTTATTCTACTGTTTGTCGCATGGCGCCGTAAAGATGGCGCCGTGGCAAGAGCTCTGGTGTGTGTCGTCTTCTCTGTCTGGTGCACACTGGGGTAGTCTTGCACAGTTTTTCCAATGTGGTTTTACTGCAAATGGCAAATAAATAAATCTGAATCTAAAGGAAAATTCTGTTGATGGAAAACAAATCTCCATCCCAGCCTCAAGTCTTTTGACACCAGCAGCTTTTCTTCAAAGAGTGTTTTACAGTTTGCTCCACCCACTACTCTTCCCATCAACAATTTTCCTTGTTCCTGCTGCAGAAACCCAGCCCCACAGCATGATGCTGCCAGCACCAGTTTTGAGTCGAGGGTTGAGCTGTGTTTTCCACCATTGCATCTCTCCCTCTCCCCATCTCCTCCTCTCTTCTTCTATCCCTCTTCCTCTCTCCCCCCTCTATCCCTCTCCCCCTCTCTTTCTCCCTCCCTCCCTCCCCCCCCTCTCTCTCTCTCTCTCTCTCTTCACTACGAGGGTAAAATCCTTGTGATCCTGGTCTGTGAAAGGCGCTATACAAATAAACTTTACTTACTTACTTACTTACTTACTTACTTAAAATGCTCCATGAACCACTCCACGTCTCCACATGAGTGACAGAGGGCAGAGTGGCTGAGTCCACAGCTCCAGAGACCTGATCTGGAGAGGGTCCTGCTGACAGGTCTGGACTCACTGAAGGATGAGTAACATTTGGAGGACAATGTTTCAATGTGGTGTTGACCGCAAATAGCAAAATATGATGATCATGAACTGAAAGGGTCTTTAATAATCAATAATCAAGTCTTTGATAATGATAATAATTATGCATCAATTTTGTATAACGCTTTTTTGGACCCTCAACCTCAAGCCTTCTCATCTCATTCATCATTCACCACATACATGGTGGCTAAGTATTACAGCTGCCCTGGGGCACACTGACAGAAGCGAGGCAACAGTATGTGTCATCAGCCTCTCCAACCACCACCAACCATTCACACACACCAGACTCACTAACCCTAACCCTAGGCAACATGGGTGAAGTGTCTTGACTAAGGACATAACTGCAGTTTGGGGATGCCAGAAGTCTCCCATCACAGTACTAATCAGGCCCAACGCTGCTTAGCTTCAGAGGTCTGACGGGACCTGGCAGTGTTTGTGCCCTCTTAACCTTTTGGACCTGATGCAGCCCGATAACACATTAACAGTCACAGAGACGTTCAAACATATCTGTGGACGATTCTACCACAGAATTGTAAGTAAGTAAGTAAGTAAGTAAGTTTTTTATTTATATACCGCCTCACTGCAGATCTGAGTCTCAAAGCGGTTTACAATTGTTAATTTTGGGCATTTGTCTCTCACTCCACACAGAGATGGGAGCGGGGTCGCCAGTACAGGAGGCGCATGCCAGAACTATTGGACATATTTTTAGTGGTAGGGGAAACCGGAGTACCCGGAGGAAACCTACGCAGACACGGGGAGAACATGCAAACTCCACTCAGAAAGGCCCTGGTCCGGCCGGGATTTGAACCCAGGACCTTCTTGCTGAGAGGCGAGAGTGCTATCCACTCAGCCACCGTGCCGCCGGTCCATGCAGTAATTGTGCTGCATGCTGTCATTCTATAAATGTCAGATATGTCAAGTGTCAATCATGTAAATGGCTCACAGTGTCAGTAAAGCACTTAAGCCTCTGACGGGATCAGTGGAGGTCTTCGGCCTCTGCTTCAGGAGCCAAGATCGTGTCCAGGTCAGACCAGTCACTAGGACCAGTAGTGGTTCTGTCGCAAAGCCAACACACAGTTTACTCATGGATTGTGTTGAGGCTACCTGTACTATGGCACCAGACGAATTTACTCAGGGAGGAGTGAAATTTGACCTGAAAATAAAACTTGGTAAAGAGCAAATTGTAAGCCCTTTTGTTATTTTTCTAATGTCACTTATCTGTTTTTCCACATATTTAACATAACATGCACCATTGGTAAAAGGGACATTGAAAGAATACAGACAGATTTTCCTTCATGGGCAATAAAGTATACCTTAATGTTCACCCAGACACTATAGCACCATTTCCCTGATAAGAAGCCAGGTGTGCTTGAGGGCTCATAAGTTAGGTATCCTCCTATCCTCCCTATCCCTCCTTTCACCCCTCCCCAGTCTGGGAAATCTGCAAACTGTGGTTTTGTTTCGGGGCAGAAAAGTTTAGTGGGCCTCATCGCTTCTCCACAATTTGGATTCACTTGTATGCAATTATCATGTATGTATTTCATTACTTTAATAGATCACACAAAAACTCGGATTATTTTTAATTAAACCATAACCATGTCCAGGCCTAAGTGTAAGTTTGTAAGATATCATATTGTCAAAGTACGGGACCTTCAGACTTGTGGAAGAGTCACTGTGACCTTAAGTAAGACACTGCTTACATCCTCATTGTGGGTGACATTGCGGATGTACCTGAGTGATCCGTTGGCTTTGGTTGCCAGATCAATGCCACATTCAGGCGAGAGGACTAGTGCAGATGGGGTGACCTTGATCCTGTCTAACTCTATCTGCATCAGGGGCTATAAAAGCTGAGTAGAGTAAATGAATAATACATTACACACACAAAATGCTTGACTTTGCATGGCTTTTTGTCCCACTGGGTTTTCCTTGCAGATGCAGGAGGGTCTAAGGACAGTGGTGATGATCCATGAAACTCGATAGTCAACAACATTTATTGACTTTATCAACATTTATGGACATTGGTCATCTGCCCCATTTTGGCGATTCGTCGGTTTTGTAAAGTGCTCCAAGATAACTACTGTTGTGATTTAGGTCTATACAAGAATACATTGAATTGAAGTGAATTACTGTTTGCCTTATGTAAAGTCGTGTATAGGCACAGCAGGGTATTACTGTCCTATATGCTTTTCTGGGGCAGATACTCAACCCCGATTACTCACTCTATATTAAGAAGAAAGCAATTGTCTGTTAGTTTAAAATAGCTAGTCGCACTAATAAGTGGAGTAAATACGTTCTCTTACACAAGTCAGAGATGGGGCGAGTGGCACAGCAGCACAGTAATCTCTTCACTGATCTCTTCTCTGTGTCTGAGGTGAGTGCAGCCCAGTGCAGGCCAGAGCAGGCCAGTGTGGCACAGGTGGAGGCAGCACAAATCCTGCAGATCAGGAGCAGTGGAGGACTGTGGGGGATTCTAATGTAAGCTTTACCCCATTGTTTAAACTGTTGTTGATCCTATGACAAAGATATGGTACATAAATAAATAAATAAATAAATAAATAAATAAATAAATAAACATTGATGTTGCCTGTTGAATAAACTATTATTATGTTTGTATAACCACTATAGTATTAAACTCTAGCACTAGTGTTATTAAGATTAGCATTTACTGACTCTTTATTCTTCCCACAGTGCAAAATTTCAATGTTGCAATGTTGTTAGAGGGCATAATAAGAAGTATGAAATAATAATAATCATAATAATGCATCACATTGTGTAGCGCTTTTTTGGACACTCAAAGACGCTTCACATGTGTCGTTATTCACTCACTCCATACACAGTGATAAACTACTACTGTAGCCACAGCTGCCCTGGGGCACACTGACAGAAGCGAGGTAACTACTGTGAGATTTCATAACACTTTTAAGCAACTTTTGTTAAAGTTAAACTCATCATTCTATCAATGTGCAGAAGCCAGTACTTTTCCCTTGTTTTATCCATCTGAAGGCCAAGCTACATGGCACTGTGGCAGCTGCTGATTGGAGGTCTCCATGCCTCCGCTCTGTATAATACACTTGCATTCTATTGTTCGTGCTGTCTCTACCATCGACAATAAAACATGTCTTCTGTCTGAATGAAAGACGCGATCCCAGACATGTCATCTTCTTCACTACTTCCATCAGCCCCTCTGACCACCACCAACCATTCACACACACACCAAACTCATTATATGAAATGAGTGTGAAGTGTCTTGCCTAAGGACACAACGACAGCAGACATCAGGGGGAGTCGTGGAGAAAGTCTTGAGGTGGGCTGGAACCCACAAAGACCAATGCTCCACCAACTGAGCCACTGTCACCCCAAAATGCTGTCTATTCTAGAGACTGTACAGTGCAGTTGTATGTTTACGTCTTAGCAGCAGGAGGGTCTGGGACAAAGTGAGTGACATGCCGTCCTGGATCATCACCGCTGCCCTTTGACCCTCCTGCATCTGCAAAGACAAAACAGTGGGAAAAAAGAGAGAAACACATATCACAAACACATATTTAATTGGCAAAATAAACATTGTGTTTATTCACTTTTTTAACTCTAAAGAATAAACAAAATACACAAAATTTCACATTCGACAGGAAAACATGTGCAGGCATCAGTCGTGGTTAGTGCAGTTACTTTTTAGGCAAAACGAAACAGCTCCTCGATGCTATGGCGACAAATATGACACTGTTTTTTCACTCCCGGGTCCGAAACTGTGGCAACTACTTTACGTTTTTATGATGTGGCCAGAGTTTATGAATAGAAACACGCGACGGATGTAAAAAAAGAAAAGGTAAGTTCACACAATGGTAACGTTTTGCTAACAGATGTTTGTTCAGTGTTGTTAGCTATTCTAAATTAGCGCCGAGAACTCTTAATATCGAGAGGACAGAAACGTTTTGTAGGGACGTTACTGTAGATTATAAGAGACGGCATTAACTAGGGCTGTTTGTTTTTAGTTCTTTAAGTGGTCAATGGTTTTGTCTTTGTTGATTCATTATAGATTTCAATTACAAGAGTTTGTTGGTGAACATTTGATATTCTCCCAGAACAAACTTAAATAGATATTGTTTTTATCTATCGCTAAATACATATTACCTACATCGTTTTTGGGGCCCTGCCTATTGGCTACTGCAGCTTCCTGGGAGTTCCCTTTAACAAAACACCTGATAACTTTAGAAATTGGAATGTGTCCGACTTGTTTGACTGAAATGTTATTGAAATAGTTGTTTTTTGAACTTTGCGCCATATGTGTAATTTTACAGACCCTCTTTTTAGTCGACTAATCGATAGACAGGGCGTGTGTTTTGTAAACCAGGAACTTCTTTGCTCGATAACCGCCCTAGGATGAACCAAATAGACAATTCTTTTCTTTAAATTAGCTTAAGCTTGGACCCGGAAGTGCTGTGCTTTTCATCCTCTCTTTTTCACAGAGAAAGTATTCACTCCCCGTCGGCTTCTCCGCTTTCTAACAGTCGGAACCTTTCAACATCCGCTAAGAAATCCTCCATCATTCCATGTTTGCCGTCTTCGGGGCTGAAGTTTAGATCCGAGGGCGCAGACGAGTCCATTTCCAGACTCACCACTGCACTGAGAGTGTCACTGGGGGAGACCTCTCTAGAACTGATGCTAGACCCGAGCGGCCCCTCGTCGGTCTTCGGGCTTCTGTCTGTGGGAGGATTCCGGTCTCCGCTGTCTTGCTCCAGGGTCTTCACACGATGGCGATTGAGCAGCAGCTGCAGTTGGATTTTGTTTGTGAAGAAGATGCGTCTCCATCCGATCCCCCGCGACAAAGACACCACGTCGTCCGGCAGAGTGCTGCACCGCTGTCGCACGGCGCTCTCCCAGAACTGCTCGGACTGACACAGCTGCAGAGACACGGAACAATCCCCTTTTCCTTTCACATAGTCACAACTAGATGCTGACAATGAAAATATACAGCGGTAGAATCTGTTCGAACTCTGGTTACATTACACAGTTTAACATTGTGGTGGATGGCAGCTGAAAATTCTGTCCTGTAACTATGGTAACAGTCTTACATTGACTGTATATAGATGGACAATAACTCAGTGAAGCTCAATAGGGAAGTGCTCAGGACAAACTACTTGTATTGTATATTTTGTGTGCTCTGTTTCTACTGTCCTGTACGTGCTGCAATATTTCCTCACTGTGGGACAAAGACAAATTATTCTTATCTTAAAACATGTACTTAAGATATTGAATTATCACAAAATAACCTAGACATGTGTTTCCTGTGGTGTTAATTTTACGGACATCTCCATATTTCTGTAAAATGCATGTGCTGTTCAAATGATGAAATCGTTTCCAGCCCGACCTGTCAATAATTGTCTTTGTATTGGCTGACATCATAGGTGGATACAGCATTACTTCCTGTGTATTTTTCAACATTTTATTCCACATTTTGTCATAAATTCTCACTTAAATGCTGCAAAATGATTGTAAATATTCACCAGGGGTTGTGTTATCACTGTGATGATATAATCTGCACTTAAAGCACTGACACGGGTTAGACCTGACCTTCCAGAAGCGGCGTGAGGTGCGTAGGAGCTGGCCCACGTCCTCCAGCTCCAGGAAGCCCAGGATGCGCAGCAGGAGCGGGTCGGGCAGGTGCTCCAGGAAGTTCCAATGGCCTTGGCACAAACGCTTGGTGTAGTCCAGAATGTCTCGCCCAAACACTGTAGAGATTTCACCTGGAAATATTCATACTTTTGTTTTTTCGGCAGAGGATATGGATCTCTTTGTTCTTGGGCTGTACTGTGTTTTTTTGGGCTTTGGGCTTTGAAGTCAACAAAAAATATTCTGATCAAAAACACATAATATATAATACAGGGTTAGTCTGGCTGTAGTCAATTGCTTGTTGAAGATACGTGGGAAAATAATGTAGAAAGTAGAGAGTAAAAGGTCCAAAGCACTCAGACTGAACTTTTTAGGTTAAGTCAAAGTGCCTCAGACTTTTTCCTTTCTGCTTTCTAAAAATATTCCTGAAAATGTGCCTTCTACTGGAGCCCCATGTGACCCCAGCTTACACACAACAGCACTGGAAACAATGCAAAACCATTATTTATGAGTTTATCTTTTTTACTTACAATTTTAAATATATATTAGACTTTTATATATGTGTATTTTAGTCAAACAAACCTATATATTCTTAAACATATCTGTAACTACACACATATAAATATTTGTCCTGAATATGCCACATTTATATATGTATATAATGTGCCTCAGGTTCAGGTTAAAGGGTTACGGTACAGTATCTCCCCCATAGGGCAGGGGTGTCCAAACTAAGGCCCACTGTGTCATTTATGTGCCTCTCTGCCGCTAACAGCCACAGAGTCATCCAGCCAACTTCAGCTCCACCAATACAGTCACGCTAACCCTTGTAACGCCTTGGAATTAGGAGTGTGATAATATATCCTTATGATAATGTATCGTGATACTTTCTCACGCAATTGATTATCTATATCCTTTTGCTAAGTATCTTTTAATTTTTTTAAAGAAAACAAATGTAGTATTTTTTTTTCAATGTTTCTTTTTTAAAGCTTTACTTGAAAAAAAAAAAGTATCGATACTTAATATATGGCTACATTATGCATTCTACAATTTCTGTAGAATGTTCATATTGATTTTATATATATATATATATATTGCTGTTATCGTCTGTTCTTTCTTGTTTATTTTTTTACATTTACATAGTTGCTGTTCTATGTAAAGTGTGTATATTTTCATGTAGTGTTTTGGGGGTGGGCACCAATAAGCTTTTGCTTTGGCCCACTCCTTTTGAGCAGTACTTGTCTGCTCAAATAAACAAATAAATAAAAAATAAAAAAATAAATAAAATAAAATAAATAAATAAATAAATAAAACTTTTATTGGATGTGAGACAGATTAAGTTAGATTTTTACTAAAATGTGCAGTTAAAAGGCATTTTTGCACATGACACTTTATCCATTGATCTTGAAATAAAGTGTATTTTTTACTTAATTTATGCCATAAATATGAGAAAAATATTATCGGAGGTACAGTATATTTTTGACCAACATATTGATAATCGCTGCATCGCCATATCGTGAGATAATCGTTATCGTGAGCTTTGGATCTCACATCATGTCGTATTGTGAGGTTCCCACCACTACTTGGAATCCAGTCGCTATTCATTTCTTTACACTGGCACAAAATTCCACATACAGCACTAATCGACAAATGTGCGCAGACACAGAGAGGCCGGGTCTGCAGGTGGACTTGAACCATTCAGCGAACCACTCATCACACATATTTCATTAAATACAGAGTCAATATTTGCAGCTTACTCTGGAAACTGGAGTCTTCTAACATCTCCTGGTGCGACTGCTTTTCTTCTCCAGGCCTGGTGTTTCTGTCCACCGCTCTGAGGGAGATCTTCCACCATCTCCAGATCACCTGCAAGAGTGAGTTCAAATACAAACAAACCTTAACATGGTGTAACATTCAATTATAGTTATTTCTGTAATTCAACTTAAAACTTGAAACCAATGAATTCCATTATGGCTTTCATTCCATTTTCCAAATATTCTAGATTTCTGAGATGTATTTATTTAGGGTTTTTATAAGCTCCATTTCTGGATCGGGGGTGGCAGTCAGAGCACCAGCCCCTCACAGATCCTCCTGCAGGCGGTGGGTCCACAGGAGGACGGCTGCCTTGATGTTTCAGCGGGGCTTTTTACACGCTGTGAGTCAAAATGATCATGTCCTGATGTTCATTTGACTATTCTTTGACAGCTTGAACTATAACTCTTTAAACTAGGGGACATAATCCTGCTGTGGCTCTCCTGATGATTGTGTTTAGGCTCTCCCACTTTCCATACTCTACTGTAGAGATTTTATGGTTTCTATTTGTTTCTTGATTTGCAAGAAGCTGCATGTTCATATCAGTCCATTCATGTGTAAAGAGAATGCTCGACGTTCTTAGGTTCTTCATTCCATAAATACCAGGAGTGGGGTTTGAACCCACGAGGACTACTGTCCGTTGGATCTTAAGTCCAACGCCTTAACCACTCGGCCATCCTGGTACATAAATCCAACACATGTAGACTCAGAGTATTTATTTACACAAAAGACTGGAGACACCTGACGTCTGAGAAACAGGAAAAGCTTTCAGCACCAGAAAAAAGGAACGCCACAAAGAAGGAAATGGCAGCACAAATAATTAGATCAATTAATAAAAAAGCAACACAGCAATATTTGATCACGGCAACAGAGAAAATCACATAATGAAATTGGATAATGGATAAATAGTTGGAACAAAAGCACACAACTACAAAAGATGGATCTGGGAGGAGATTGGAATGATGAAGTGGGGTGCACTGACCATCAACAGAGACAAGGGGGCCTTCACTTTGATTCACACTTGGGACTTCTTCTCCAGAGACCACGGTGCAGCAGGGGAGTTGTCGATTGCTACAAATACTTTTTGACTTTCATCCATAAAGTTTTGATATTCTACCAAGAGTAGAGTCTTCAACAGTGACAGACACCATGTGAATCAAACTCTACCAGGAGTGGGGTTTGAACCCACGAGGACTACTGTCCATTGGATCTTAAGTCCAACGCCTTAACCACTCGGCCATCCTGGTTCAAAAAACCTAAAGTAATGGAAAGGTCAATGTATAAATGTGTTTTAGCGCGTTGTGAGCGAGGTAGTAGTAGGGCCAAAGGTAAAAGAAAATGTTTGTCAGATGTGGCTCTTTTGATGATTGTGTCTGGCTTTCAGATAACTCTTAGAGAGCATTAATAGTAAGAATGTTTTATCTATTGGATTTCTTCAGTATAAAAATGTTCACAGAAAATAAGTGTAAGACTCCCACAGAATTAAATTTAAAAGTATTAGACTTATTTGGCTCTTTCCACTAAAAAGGTCCTCGTCCCCTGTTTTAACCTGTGTCACTGTCTAGCCAATGTTTTTATGATCAGCTACGAAACTATTATCTCTGAGAACTTTACAAATCTGTTGATTCGCCAACACAGATTAGAGAATCAACCCGTTCAGACACAAGAAATACAATGTTAAAAACACATAGAGCCATTGGTCCATAAGGGGCAGAGACCAATGTCCATAAATGTATATTATCATAAAAACTTTGGTAAAGTTTCTACATTTGTGATTTAAAATTGAATTGAATGAATTTTTGCAGCAACGAAGTTAGATAACAAAAACAGATAGATTTAGTCATCAACTAACAACTATGATTGTGTCACTTTCTAGTTTGAGAAATACCACAATAATGACGCTACACGTTGACGTCAACGGCTCACGCGTCAATAGAGAAAGACAAAAAAAAGGCGAGCCCAAAAAAAATAACACCGACAAAAACACGCCTTCATGTTTTTCATTACCCAAACTCACCTCTGTTTTAGTAATGGCTAAGTAATAAAGAGTTTTGTTTTGTCCGGGCGCTCTCCCAGATGTCTCGAAAAGCGGCTCCTTCACAAGCGACGCCATCTTGAAAGTTTGGCAGTAACCATGGCAACGCAGTCTCCCTTCCGCAAAGCTTGTGATAATATTTTATTATATATCATTATTCAATTGTTTTTATATATATTATTGCCCTCGTCGCAAGTCAAGCCCGTGTATAAAAAATATTTTTATTTTTATTTATTTATAACGAAATAACAAATGTCACAGCTACAGGTTTGATTATCGGACATGGCCATAGCTGCATGTGAAAGCCAGATTCCGTCAGAAGCGAAGCAGCGTAGGCCTTGGTCAGTTTTGTGATGGGAGACCTATGGGAACAGAAGGTATCACAGTGCGGTGGCTGAGGCTGTAAAGTGCCAAACTGTTGTTGTGTTCCGAGTCAAGGCACTTCATCACATTGTCCAGAATGAGTGTGGTGTGTGCAAATGGCTGGTTGTGGTGGGAGGGGTCCATAGCATATACTGGTTGCCTCACTTCTATCAATGTGCCCCAGGGCAGTTGTGGCTACAGTGGTAGTCCCGAGAGAGTGCTATGTAAAATCAATGCATTACACCATCATCAACAAACATCTTTATTTAAATTGTAGAAATGATGAATGATCTGCAGATATTTCGAACCTTGTGATGAGCCTGAAACTACTTTAAACTTTGAGTGATGTTCTGTAAATGCATCTCAGGCTCATATCAACTCAATGTCTTTCAACTGCTTCTAGGAGTAGCTTTTTGCTCCCACTTGTGCATCAAAACAGGGGAAAGTCAAGAGTAATTTAATTTAATATATATATAAAAATTGAAAAGTTTTTTCAATCATATCTACATAGAATAAAAGAAAAGGCAACATTGAAGGCCACAACCTCCTGAATGTAATGTAATTCAAAGCTTTTCATGACAATGGCAGGATCTTTTTAGATGAATTGGGAACTGCAACAATGTGACCAAAAACTAAAACAAGTGAATGTGACGGTAGTTAAAAAACTTTAATTTATTTATACATATATTTATATATGTACACATTTACTACTCTATTCTTGCAAAGACAAGATACACATTGGTTGTTAGTCAGTGGTGGCACACTTAAACCCTGGCTTTGTCCCACTGTGGGCGGCAGTTCAGTTCTTTTACCAAATGCTTTGAAGCAAACCGTTGGAGTAAAACGTCAATAAAGCAGAGCAATAATCCACTAAACAGCTTTAACAGTCTCCGCATGATCTCCCAGTGACATTTCTCCTGTGACTTCCTGACACAGAAGCAGACAGTGGGAGTCTTTTGTGCTGAAGCAGGCACCAGCTGTTCATACAAACAGTGAAGTACGTATTCTTTAAACAACTTTTGCACATATTGGCAACTTTGTGATAGTCACTACAGCTGTTTGGCTAAGGCTCTACCTCTGGATCCATTCAACATGATTCATATATAAGAACTTCACTGAAATTGCTTTGAGCAAAAGTTTTTTTACAATTTTAAAAACCAGCCCTGATCCTCCAAAGCTTTGTCACCGCTCTGTAGCTTCTAAAACCAAAATAGAAAAATGTGTTTGAGTAAAAGGCCTGCTCCCCAGTCCCACGGTCTCTAAACCAGAGGGCTTTTCCTGAACCCTGTTCATGGTCCTACATAGTTTTCCCTGTATATTTCATACATAGTAGTGGTTTTTGTTCACAAGGCGTTTGTATACTCACCATTGTTAACTTAGTCCTTGTTATACATAACACATAATAGTGATTACAAATGATGATATGCACAGAGCTTACAGTAAGAAACAAGAAATAAAAAAGCATATAATGTATACTGTATATAATATTCCAAATAGTACGCCACATAACAGTCCCAGTCTTTAGTCCCTTGAACTCCTTCATAGTGTTGTAAACTTCTTTGCAGAACAAGAAGTCTTTAGAAATGTGCTGTCACTAACAGCGTGACGGAACAAGTGCGTTGATTATGTGCTGCATGCTGCCCTCTGGTGGCCGAAATACGAACTGTGCTACAGGAATGGGTTTGTGGAGCCTCCTGAGGGGAAGGGCCCGGCCGGGGCCCCTGCCTGCGACACAAGAAGCAGCAAAGATGTTAAAGAGAACATTCTAAAGTGAATATATATATATCTGAAGCAGTGGTCCAGCCCTGAACAGGCCACACACACACTCACCATGAAAGGGTTATTGGTCATGCCAGGAGCAGCCAGCGGGGGCCCAAAGGGCGTCATGGAGGGCTTGTTCTGAGCGTAGACGGGGAATGCAGGACCTGGGGAGAGAAACGGGACATAAACAAAAACAGCAGTGAAGACGCAGACGTCGCACAGGACACGATCATATTCCATTTCAGGATTTCTGATACAGCTGTGAATGAACGACAGAGAGAAGGCTCAGTGTGAAATGTACACCTTGCATTTAGGTCGAACGAAAGCCACATTCATGCATCAGACTACTGCACAGTACCTGCAAGGACTTTGGTGCCAAAAATGTAGCAAAAACTACAAAAAAGAATCCAAGCCGCCCTTGCTGGGTACTGTGCTGACTCTAAAGGTATTTAGAGGGTAGGGCACTAACCATTGGACTGGGGGTGGTACCCCGCAGGCTGAGCGTAAGGGATGGGGGCCTGGCCGGGAAACTGTTGCTGGAAGTTTCCGCTGAAACTGGTTGGGAGGCAGTAGGACGAGGCATTCCCGAAGCCGGCGGGCATGCTCATAGAGCCAGTACCAAAGGAGGCTACAAGACAACAGTGTACAGTCAACACAGAGGGGGCGGGGCACTCTGGGCGGCCATCACACACACGTTACATTTAACTTAGGGGAGTAACAGGTCCTTTGGAAAGAACATGGTGCATATGTCACGTGTGTTGTTCTGTTTTGACACTGATTTTTAAGTCTATCTGTCAGAACAGAACAACATTTCTACTGTTACACCCCTAATTAATGTACATCTACAGGAGCTCATCTCACTGGGCTTTAGAGCCTGATATCAGACCTGCTACTGGAGCTCGGCCGTTGGTCTGGAAAGGATTAGTGGCCATTTCTGGAGCCACAGCTGCAGCGACGAACGGGTTTGTGGACGGCACAGCTGCAACAGAAACAGATGAACAAACACATGAACTTGGGGCTTGCACAGAGCAGTCATTACGTCGGCCGATTTTAATTGTAATTGTAAAGAGATTGTAGGTTATAATAAGAAGACGTTTAGTCAGGGGGAGGGAGAAAATTTAGAATTATACAAAGAAAGTCAGGGATCCTCCAATTTGTTATTTTAGAGCGCAAGAAATAAACTTGGTCCTCGTCTAAAAACTTCACTCCACTTTAAATAATCAACTTTCTTCTGTTTGCATTCTCATCCGTCTAATCAGAACATGTGGGTTTAGCATTCCTGAAAATACTATACCATATCATATAGATTTCTTTATAAATATTGATACTTTAAAATGAGACAAAGGATTGAATCTCCTCTCTTTTTAATGTACTGTGATTACTTATATCAATGCTTTGTTTCTTTTCTTGTTTTGTTCAGTACTTGGAGTTCCCTTGTGTATGAACTGTGCAATACAAATAAACTTGCCTTTGCTTACAGCAGGAGGTCTGGTCACCCTCGACATACTACTGCATACGAGTAGGACATCAGCTGCTTACCTCCAAAGCCCGGCTGCATGGCGGCGAGGACTGGAGCGTTTTGAGCAGGAGAAGAACCCAGCACTGGCCCAAACAGGTTTCTGCCAAATCAGCAGGATCCATATTAATAAAACAATATCAATATATAACACAGATCAAAGTTTACCCATGGGCAGTGTAAGAAATAGGGCTTCAACTTCAATAACACAAACTGATGAGGCAATTGTATAAGTATGCGCATTTCAAATGTAATTATTTTAAGAGATTTTCAATGCACATTTAAATGCGCATTTAATAAATAGAGAATAAGTAGTAATCTTATAAAGCACATTTTTACAGAGCAAGGTCACCTAAAGTGTTTTACAATCTTTAAAATGTTCAGAATTCAGATATTGCTTCATTCTCTCCACACGCTGATGACAGAAGCGAGACGCCGAACCAACCCTGGACCATCAAGCCTCGGACCAAACACCATCCATTCACTCACTTCATGTTCAGAAGGAGTAGGAAGAAGCCAAAGCTTCTCCCCAATGTTTATTTAATAAATTGTAATATATATAGAATGGGTCGAATTCAGAGGGACAAGAAAGGGGGGACACCCTACGGGGACAAGAAAGTACAAAGTAACTTAACTGGGTTAAAACTGTTTTATCTTCTCTGTCTGTGTCTTCATCACCTTTATCTTGTCCGTCTGTGTTTTGTTTATTTATTCATGTGTGATCTGTTGTGTAAGGTTTTCATTTATTTTGTTTCTTTGGAATGTGCCTTTTGTTCTACGGCTGAAATGTAGCAGTTATGCTAAGTCCGGCACATTTACACTGAGGCTTACGGCATCAATGTTGATGAATGTGCATTGTCCCAACTAAATAAATAAACACATGAAAATGAAATGAACTGAGATAATGATTAGTTGTTGAGTTTGGCGTCTCACCCGGGGACGTTGCTGCCGGAGGAGGCCGAGGTGCTGAGCTCGTTGTCCAGTTCGGCTAACGCAGCGTAGCGATCCTCCGAGCAGCTTCCTGTCAGCGTCTGAGCCGGCACCGCACTGGACATGGAGGGAATGGGAACTCCTCCTGAATCATAACAATAAAAATAATGACTAAGATTAAGGTTAAGAAAATGTTTTATTCATCCTAAAGTGGAGAAATTTCAGTGTTGCATCACCGGTTACAGAAAAGTAGCTTTTTTGAACACTGGAAAATGCTAAGTGGGCTTGCATCTCCACTTTGTGTCTATGTATTTTTTGTATTGAAGCAGACCCATCAGTCCAAACTAGACAAAAAGTAAACAATCTGAATCTAACTGTATCTGAGGTTTTTTTTATATTATTCACCAATGGCGATTTGATTTGAACCTCATGAAGTGCATTTGAAGCTTGAAGGTGAGATGGGATGAAGGGGGGGGGGGGGGGGGGGGGGGGAGTACCTGATGACTGTGAGGGGGGTGAGGTGCTCAGGTGAGATGGAATAGTAGTGTTTCCGAACGCCTCGAAGTTTGCAAAGTTGCTATTGGACTGAGGCGCTGTGGAGAATGAAGGGTGGAATGACAACGATGCAGAAGGAAGATGAAGACAAACAAGAAAGTATACAAGGTTCTCATGCCTTTTTATTGTATAAGAACGGTAGCCACAGCTGCCCTGGGGCACACTAACAGAAGCAAGGCAACTGGTATGCTCCCACCACCAACCATTCACACACACACACTTTACAGCCGCAGCCGCCCCACTGTGGCACCCGGTGTCCCCAGAGGTCTCCCATCTCGGTACTAACCAGACCCTGTCCTGCTTATTTTTCAGAGGTCTGACAGGATCTGGCCTTTACCTGCAGGTCTGGCCACAAGTGACTCTAGTTTCTTATCATTGATCAGAAGAAAAGAATTAGAGGCAAATATAAATGATCATGTAAAGGGGACATCAATCAACCTTAAATCAAGCGTTTTCCTTTGTCTTTTCTGGGTTGGACACTTGGGGGCGATGTTGCACAACCATCCAATCCTATAGAAGTCATTTAACCTGAGAAACTGACAAAAGTAGCTCAGGGGACATAATTCTGTTTTAAAGAGGCATAAAACTGCTCTGAGTGTGATGTCATAGAGGTGCAATGACATCATACTATTACAGAACTGAGACAGGAACTTTTAGACAGAAGTTACTCATTTTTGCCAGAGGATTAGCGTGGATGGATCTAAAAACAACTCCAGGTCTGTGACTGATGAGGGAACAATATTGAAACGTGATTAACAGCTGGAAAACGCTGATTTTGCATGTGTAGGAGTTGAATGGTCTCCTGGACATATGCTGGATTAAAATAACAATTACACATTTTATCTCCGTTCCCGGGAGGCGTGGGAACCTTGGATCGGCTTCTGTGAAAATGCGGCTGGGAACTGCTTACCCGATTGGCTTGGGAAATGTGCAAAGTTGGCGAAGTTGGAGGTGGCAGTCTGAGCGGGCGGCGCGGCAAAGATGTCTCCTCCGAGGTCCGAGAGAAGGTCAAACTTCTTCTCCTGAGACGTGTTGTGGGTTTGTGTGCGACTGAGGCCCGGCGACTGCACACAACACAGCGGGACAACCAGTGATTAGTACGAGTCGTATTACCAAACTAGAGAAAGATTATTGGAATGATCCACGTCACAACAATCTACTGAGATCCACAATGTGCAAAAGTGAAGGGGGCAAGTTTTGTTTTTAGTGGATAGGTCTTTTTTCTCTAGCAATTTTTGTGGATCTGCGTTTTTTGACCTAAAAATGATCATAATAATGCCTAATAATAATGTAATTTTTTCTGGACACTCAAAGACACTTCACATGTCATTATTCTTTCACTACATACAGCGGTGATAAACTACTGTAGCCACAACTGCCCTGGGACACACTGACAGAAGCGAGGCAACCAGTCTGTGCCATCCGCCCCAACCATTCACACACACCAGACTCATTCTAGACATTTTGGTTAAAGTGTGTTGCCTTGGGACACAACAATAGTTTAGATAGTGTGTGTGTGTGTGTGTGTGTGTGTGTGTGTGTGTGTGTGTGTGTGTGTGTGTGTGTGTGTGTGTGTGTGTGTGTGTGTGTGTGTGTGTGTGTGTGTGTGTGTGTGTGGAACAGCACATTGCCACATTATTATAAGTAGAATATAATTTAAGAAATAATTTAAAAAAAGACGGATAATAAGCATCTGGATAAACAATGGTAAGTTTTAAACTATAGGTAGATAAAAATTGCAGTTATATAAAGAAACTGTGACGGTAGTAAAATGCATAATGAGACAAACAAAATAATAAGAATAAATAAATGGAAAAACAGAAAATAGTCCAACAGATATGCAGCCACAAGCATATATTGTAACTATGGATCACTAACCAGGCCCTGCCCTGCTTAGCTTCAAAGGTCTACGGCAGTGTCTCCCAAAGTGGGGTCCGCGGCCCCCTGGTGGGCCGCGAGGGTACTGCAGGGGGGCCGCGGGAGGTCATAAAAATAATAATAATAATAATATAATTATTTAATGTTAAATTTATAATGTTTTGTTTGTAATATTAAAATATTTGTGTTCATTATTTGACTTGAATAATCCACTGTAATCATTTTTGTATTACAATGTTTGTAGCAGAGGCTATTTCCCCAAAATAAAATAACCAGAAGAGCCTATTCTTAATGTTGTCTTCTTGGTTATTATTTTGGGGGGCCACGCAGACCCGTCAAATTTTTAAGGGGGCCTCGGTGTTACTGAGTTTGGGAATGGCTGGTCTACGGGATCTGGCTTTAACCTGCAGGTGCGGCCACAAATCACACAAATCACCTGTGTGGAAAGTCCCTGTTGACCCGGGACAGTAGTGTGAAAGGTTGGCTTGTTGTAAATATTCTAGCATTGGTTTTTTTCAGTATGAAAGCTTCATACAAAAAACACTGCAATACGTCGGCAAGCTAGCTCCAGGCTTTCACATCCATGCATGCTAGTGGCTGTGTCCTCCAGATAACAATTACTGCTTATTATGTTTAGGGCAATAATCCATTTGTCACCATTAAGCTAATTACTTGCTGCAGGGCTAAAAAAAAAAAAAAAAAAAAAAAAAAGGACAACGCAACTCACACAGCAGTCTTTGTGTGGCCTTTTGAGTGATGTCATAGTTTACACAGGGAGTCGCTTCAGTCGCAGAAACTTAAACACAGGAGCTACTTGTACAAAGCCAAAGGGCCGGAATCCAGACAGGGGAAAGAAATGGGAGAGACTGGGGAGAGACTGGGGAGAGACTGGGGAGAGACTGGGGAGAGACTGGGGAGAGACTGGGGAGAGACTGGGGAGAGACTGGGGAGAGACTGGGGAGAGACTGGGGAGAGACTGGGGAGAGACTGGGGAGAGACTGGGGAGAGACTGGGGAGAGACTGGGGAGAGACTAGGGAAAGACTGGGGAAAGACTGAGGAAAGACTGGGGAAAGACTGGGGAAAGACTGGGGAAAGACTGGGGAGAGACTGGGGAAAGACTGGGGAAAGACTGGGGAAAGACTGGGGAAAGACTGGGGAAAGACTGGGGAAAGACTGGGGAAAGACTGGGGAAAGACTGGGGAAAGACTGGGGAAAGACTGGGGAGAGACTGGGGAGAGACTGGGGAGAGACTGGGGAGAGACTGGGGAGAGACTGGGGAGAGACTGGGGAGAGACTGGGGAGAGACTGGGGAAAGACTGGGGAAAGACTGAGAAAAGACTGGGGAAAGACTGGGGAGAGACTGGGGAGAGACTGGGGAGAGACTGGGGAAAGACTGGGGAAACACTGGGGAAAGACTGGGGAGAGACTGGGGAAAGACTGGGGAAACACTGGGGAAAGACTGGGGAAAGACTGGGGAAAGACTAAAGCCTGGGCCACACGAGACGATTTTAAAATTGTCGGCCGATTTTTCTCCGTGTTAGACCCCACACGGGGAGATTAAAAATCCTGCGTCTAACCACTTTGGTCGTGCAGTGTGTGGTGCGTAGCCACACGGCAAGATCAGGCAAGCCACAAACATCACACACGAACCGACAAACAGTCGGCGGTCCTCTTCGTCCTGGCGGACGAAGAGGATGCAGTGGCGATAGTGTGCAGTTTGTTGTTAACAGAGAAGACACGTAATCCAAAGAAAAGGCAATGGTCAAAGCCATGCTGCTGTGTTCACCGGCTTGTCACCTCGTCTTCTTATTGGCTACACGCCGTAGTCATGGCAACGCGCTCGCTTGTCCTCGGAGGACACCACACACGACAAGAAATCGGGCCAAAACAATCCAACATGTTGGATATCCCCGATTTGAGATCGGGAGCAGTCCCGATGTCCTTCCGAGCGACGAGTGCAGTCTTAACACACCACACACGGCAGGATAATCTGTAAGATTTTGTTACGGAAATCGGAGCGTTTCTTAAGATTGTCGTAAGGGGTAAATCGGGTCTAAATCGGCCTAAATATCCTGCCGTGTGAACCAGGCTTCAGGAAAGATATGAAGAAGACTGAGGAAAGACTGGGGGTAGTCCTGTGTGTGTAAGGTCTTATATGACCACATTACCGCGGCGCCATTCGGCGTGTTTGTTGTTAGCGTCTCACAGCCAGCAAACAACAACCAGAGCGGCCGCAGCTGCCCCCAGGGTGTGCCCCGAGAGGCGGACTTCAGTTCATAGAAAACAACAGCCCCACGGTCATGCGTGTATTCTTTAAAACTTGGATTCCCAGAGGGCCTACCTGCTCTGATGCCATCTCACACACGCATGTGTCCGCGGTATTCTGATTATTATGAATAAATGGGCGGGTCATTCGGACATGCGTTAATTAGTTAGTGCGATAATTTTGACAGCCCTAATAAAAACACATCACTAACCAGACCCTGCCCTGCACAGCTTCAGGATCTGGCTTCTGCATGAAAAAACCAGGTCAGTTTTCGATGAGAGAACAGGGTTGCAACATAAGACTTCAAACTGTGTCTCTTAAGGCCTTACATTTGGCTCTACCTTTTCATAATTCAATCCTTGGGCGTCTGCTGAGTGATGTGATGGGGAGGGGAGTCTCACCTGCCGTAGTGGGGTCTTGTTGAGCTGCAGGGACTTGAGCGGTTGGACCTCGGGGGTGCTGCCGGTGCTGCTGGCCGACGAGCCGGACACCGAGGCCTGGATGGTGGCCACGGTCCGGGCCTGATCCGGGGGGACATACCTGAGCGACACGACACAAAACACAATCAACAACACACAAACTCACGCACTGGCTTGTGTTAAAGCTTGAGCACTTTTTAAATGAAACTCTGGCTGAGCACCTTAACTCAAGGCGACAACCCGGTGTATCGTTAATGCACATTATCTCGTTCTAAATAAGCAAATAAATATCGATATTGTTTGTAAATGGGTGTGTGAAGGTTCTCCTGATCCCAGAATAGAAAAGTCGATGAAATCAAAGACCAACTGAGCTTTTCTTTGAGGCTTTCCAGAGACAGATGTCAGAAACAGTGGAGTAAATGAGTTTCCTATCTCCATAAATGACTGTCCATGTCGAGGTTATTAGGTGATAATCTGCATAAATGTATCCTCTGTATGTCTCTTTGTATTGCATTGACTTTTACTTTATCGTGCACAAAGTTGGATGGCCATAAATGTCGTCACAAAAATGGCGAAAAATATGTAAATGGTCTGTTTTTGTTAATTGGTTTCTTGTAATTTTACCTTTTGTACAACTTGTTACAGTACTATAGCATAGATATGTTGTTAGTGCCCCAAAAGAACCCCCTTCATCATAATCCACCACTTCTGCTGCAGAAGAACGAACTTGAGGCGCAGTTTGAACTTGAGGCTAGTGTTACGAATAATTGAAACACGCAAATTGGTGGTGGAGCCTGAATGTCAACTTTCTCCACTACAGGTCTCCTTAAATAGCGGTAACTAAAGCCCCTTTGTGCGTTATATGAATGCAGTGCACCCCCGGGCTTTAGGAAATGAAAAAACGTGGGCGGTGCCTAAGAAAACCAGCTCACAACATACGTACCACCGCTTTTTCTCATATTTTTCCTGTAGGAACTCTTTGACTTTCTGCGGTTCTCGGAAATCTGGCACCACCGATGTCCGGTCGTCGTAAAGGCCCAACCAGATGTGTTTACAGACCTACAGGGTGAGGGGGTAGGGGTGGGGGGGCAGGGTCCGGGGGTGTGGGGAGTAGGGTGGGGTAGGAGAAAGCAGGGGGGGAGGGGAGGAGGAAGAGAAAGAGGAATGCCAATAAAGCTGAGTAAGCAATGCCTGGAACGTACCTTCGGAATCAAAGACAGACCGAGCACTTGTCGGAGAGAACATGTGTGTCACCCAAAGTCTGGGGGTTTAGAGCAGGGGTCTCCAAACTTTTTCCCATGAAGAGCCACTCGTTTATGACAAAAAAGGACGAGAGCTACTCCTTTAGGCGGCTCAATAGAAATCTAGTGATTAGTGCATGGATTGTTTTATGGGAATTTAACTGTAAACCAATTATTTTGGGATTTTAATGTTTTGTTTTACGCACTTTGAGTTGCTTTCTGCTACTGTTATAGACCCCTGTTTTAGAGCGTTTACCGAGGAGATGTGGATAAAGCAGCAGTAACTTATCAAAAGCATATTACTCTGGTTCCACTTGTCGCATGTGGAGCTAAGCAGCAACTACAAGTGATGTGGGGCCAGTTAAAATTGCCATTCATTTATTTTTTCCATTGATTTTTTCAAGGCTTGAGAGCTTGTACAAGGATAATCACTGATGTGGACTCTCGCAGTATGTTACATTAACTAAAGTCATTTCCATCGCCGCTGTTACCGCTGGACTCTCTGTAGCTTCTTGGTGATATGGACTTTGGTGTTTGAGCTTGTATTGTTGTGTTATGTTCATATATGTGCATGGGGCTCCACTTCATACCACTTCATATCGCTTACTGTCTGACATTTACTGTGTTTTTATGTGGTTTTTTATAAATGTTTTTATGCCATGTGCTGCTCACACAAATAGCTCCTGGTGGGATAAAGAAAGTAGTCTGAATCTGAATCCTCACTGTGGGACTAATAAAGGCATTCATTCAATAATTCATGCATTAATTCAAAACCAGTCTCTGCAAATCCAGTCATGGACATGTTGCGGTAATGAGGAATTTCCCCTTTAATGTGGAAAAAAAACAAAAGTGGTTTTTATTATGATATTTGAAATAATGTGCTAAGTAGTACATGGGGAGATGTTTATAACTGTGTGCTTCTTATTGATAGCAATTCTGTGAGAACAACCCATCTGTGTTATGTTATTATTAGGGGTGGGAACCTAAGGGTACCTCACAATACGATACAAAGCTCACGATAACGATAATATCACGATAACGATAATATACGATAACGATAATATCACGATAACGATTTTATCACGATACCGATTTTATCACGATAACGATTTTATCACGATATGACGATTATCGATATATTGGTTAGAAATATACCATATGCCAATTTATGGGATAAATAAAAGAAAAATTTTAAGTGAAAAAGTACACTTTATTTCATGATAAATGGAATGGAGATAAGTAATGTAGCCATATATTATATTTTTTAATTAAAAAAAATATATAAAAAAAATCTAAATCGATACTTGGCAAATGCATATTGATAATCCAATCGCGGGAGAAAGTATCGCAATATATCGTCACACCCCTAGTTATTATAATGTGTTTATTGATGTATGTATTTGTTTGTGTGGATATGTTTTTACTGCTGGACACCTGCATTAGTCCTGCAAAAGATCAATACAGTATCTTAATCTTGTTATATTTATGTACTTGTCTGGTGCACACTGGGGACTTTTGCAAATGCATTCCAATGTGGTTTTACTGCAAATGGCAAATCAATGACTCTGAATCTGTCTCTATCTATATATTAAATGTAAATGGGTCTTCTGTAGGTGTCACACACTTTACATACTGGACTATTCCAACCAAAAGAAGAATATCTCATAAAAAAATTGCACTTGAGGCTTAAGTACCTAATAACTGACAGAAATTACTGTAGTGTTTTAATTTATGCTTGAGAAATGAATGGGAAATGAACTGTTCACCTCCTTTTGCCTTTTTGTTCACCGGAAAGCATTACCTCACTTGGTTTGGTAGGATTGAAATTTTCTCGAGCGGTGTGCATTAAACGTTAGCCAGAGGTGCTAATTTACATCTGATGTCCCTGTTGTTGTGAAGCAGTAAGACAAAAGTAGGTGGATACAAGGCCATACATTAGACACAGAAGTTAGCACGTTACAAACTGGGCTCCCTGAACATATTTTGCATGAATTCAAAACTCGTAAGACAAAGTAAACTAAATGTATGGGTGTAGCCGAGGTAAAAGCTGGAGAATGGGATCAATAAACAATACGCTGACAATATGAGATGGGCTAATGCGAGTATAGTGTCTAATAGCGACGTCTAAAAGTGTCTGGGTTTGATCCAATAGACTAAGTCCTGACTCTGTGGTTTCGCTCAAGTCCGTACCTCGTTGCTGTGCTTCTGTAGGAACTCGATCTCCTGTTGTGTGAAGGTGGTCATAGAGATGGACTTGACTCTGTGAGGAGGGTTCAGACCGCGCCTGGACAAACACCAAACACACAGTGTCTAAAAATATGTACAATAGGTCTGGCATGTGCCTCCTGTACTGGCACCCCCACTCCCAAAAAATAACAATTGTAAACCGCTTTGAGACTCCGATGTGCAGTGAAAAGGCGGTATATAAATAAAGATTACTTAATAAAGATTACTTACAGTTAACACAGATCCACTCGACACAGCAGCAGTTTTTTACGTCGTTTACACACTTCTCGAGACATCCATTCATGTTAGATTTATGTACCGCAATTTCTGTGATAGGGTTAGGCTCCGATAAGTGCTTCACCTAAACCAGGGGTGCCCAAAGTTTTAGTAAGAGGGCCACTTTAGTTTATCAGACTTGACCTGACAACCTGGAATTTAAAATGGGTTATGATACATCCTTTTTGATTCACACCACAGCTGCATTTTATGTGCAATGTTGTGATAGTCACAAAACAAATGTTAGTATACAGTAATAGACTCAACAACTGGATTCCAGAGGGTCTGAGTTTTACAAGGTATAGCTTGACTGACTTGGTGGAGCTGAAGTTGGTTTGATGACACTGTCAACGGTGACTTTTTTCTGGCAGCAGAGGGTCGGAGTTTGAGGTCTAACTGGATCTCGCAATGTTACACCAAGAGGATCACTCGGGGTGGACAAAAAGACCGGACATGTGTAATAAATTATCTTCACAATTAAATGGAAACAGTTTTTCAGTTCGTCTTTCATGGGTTCGTTCGGACATGGCTACGGACCAATGGGAGCGGGTCCCGGCTCAGAAGTGTCCAAAAGCACGTGCGCTGACATTCTGTAGTACCACCCCGGCCGATGGGGGTGGACCCGGAATAAGAATTTGCCAATGCTAACACATAGCATTGGCAGACCTCTCAAAAACGTCTTTACAGGATGGTCCAAAAGTTGGCTCTTGGCCCAAAGCTCTGTTCCACATGTGTGTCAACGCTGAGGGGGGTGTTTTGGACCAGTCTAGTTTAGTCGCTGTGAATTTTTGAAGGCACTCGTTAAATGAATGGGGCTCGTGCCGGCTGACGCATGCGCAGATGAGGTCTTTTTTTTCTTCACATTTTCTAGGCCCCGCAGCCATTTCGAAACTGCCCTTAGACCGCGGAAGTTGTAGCACATTAGAACAGCGGAGATGGGCGTGACTACATCTGTTAATATTTACAGTCTATGGTACGGACATGGGTTACGACACGAGTTTGGACATGCTTGACCTAAATCCTTTCAGCCATTGCTTTTGTCTTTGGAAATGAAATGTCCTGTATCCTCAGTCTGAGGTTGTGAAATGACTGAAAAAATAAACTACTACATCCTGTCCTATAAACGAGACAACAGGGATAACGGAGCTGAACTTGGACTCCAGCCTTGAGCTCTTCACAGATCACACGCTGCTTCGGGAGTTTGTCTCTGCAGAGAAGAGCCAAAAGGTGAACCACAAATTAGGAGTTGGCCACGCTGATGCCCAAACTGATTTACAACCACCGTGTCTGGGGTTTACACAAAACAGACTCAGGCCACGATCAGAGCTGACCTGAGGCCGACTTCAAAAAGACAGGTGAAAGATTAGATTCTTCCCGACTTTGAACTCCACCGGGACTTGAAATTGGGCTGAATGTTAGTCCAAAATAATATATTAGTTTCCTCATACTGATTCACTTTATTTGAGACTCATTCCAGACCTATTGTACATGTTTTTAGTGGTAGGGCGAACCCGGAGCACCTGGAGGAAAACCTACGCAGACACAAGAACATGAAAACTCCACTCAGAAAGGTCCAGAGGTGGAATCGAACCCAGGACCTTCTTGCTGAAACCACCACTCGAGGATGTAGAATCTTTGATAAGCACAATGGGGCTCACTGTGTCTATGTAAAGAATGACAAACTGAAATCTGTTACCATTTAAGTGAAAATAATCACTTTTTACATTTAGTTCACAATAATTTACACACCCCGAGTGATCCTATTTAGGCCTGCACAATATTGGAAATTAGAGCGATATTCGATAACGATATTATTGCGATATTTTTATTCTTTCACCTAAAATTGCAATCTGCTTTGAAACGCAAGAGACATGACAAAAACATGAATGACCTTCAAATGCATATATTTATATACTTTTTGTTTGTTGTTTTTGTTGAATGTTGATGTGTGTCTGTTTTGTTGTCTTTAACTCATCGGCTGCGATTGACGAATTTGGCTGAGACTAATGATTTCTGTCAAACTTCCCTCTATTCCACTGGGGATTACAGGACCACAAAACTAGCTAGAAACAAACATATTTTTGCAGATGAAAGTAGACAGTCCAGTCTTTCAGAATTTGGTTTCATATTTCACATATCCATAGCACGCAATATTCTGTGGGTCTTGAAAGTCAGTGAAACCATCAAAGGCATATTTCCGCACAAATATAGCGATAATGGTATTTTTTGATATATCGTGCAGCCCTAATTCCTATTAATGTAACATGAACTTTTTTCCATTGTGGGATCAAGTTTCATATCTTAACTACAGATCGTGTGGCTGTTTGTTTATTTTAGACTTCGTTAAGGACTTACACACTGAACAAATAACACTTCAAAGCTTATGTGTTTCCGTGTAACAAACTCTTTACCGCTCAATTACCATGACGCAAGTTAAGGAAGCAATAATAATCACAATAACAGATGGATTGTAACTGAGACGGAGCCAGTGTCAGGTTTAATATTGATTTAGTCTGGTCTGGCAGTTTCCTCATTTTATTAATATTATTATCAAATTTAATTAAGTCATGCCTGGACAATATGATTATATGCACCAGCGAATAGGGTTTGAACCGTAGCGATTAGTTTTTAATGATTTTTACTTATAGACGCTACAATGAAAGCCTCTATTCAGCCTGTAGTGGAAAATTACGATTCATTTGATAAATGCGATAAGATAAAATACACACAGGAATCTATTTTCCCACATACTTGTATTGTGCTGAGACTACACTAAGCTTGGTGAAGAGAAGTCATACCAATAACAGCGGCAAACTCACACAAAAACAACAACATTCAGAGATTTCTCGCTCATTACCGACTTATGAAATGGAAAAACAAGCATTTTTTGAGCGTTGCATGGTTAAACTTTGTCCAGGAGCACTTCCCTATTGGGTTTCAATGAGGTTAGTCTCATCTATCTATATACAGTCTATGATCTGAGCCAGTTATGGGGCAAACCTTTCCTCCTGTGGGCCACATTGTAAAATCAGCCAGCTATCGGGGGCCGGACCTAAGTTATAATGTTTTTCTCTGATCTCATTTTTTTTAACACATACTATATTAAAAGGTTGAATATTGCAGCAGAGCAAGGAGCGTGGTATAGATGGATTATATAGTCCTTATACCAGATCTAAAACTAACTGAGGAGGGCATGGGGGCCTAATAGACACATCCAAAGGGCCGCATCTGGCTCGTGGGCCGGAGTTTGCCCATTACTGATCTAAGCACTAGCACAATAAATATGTGGTAAAACATTGCATATAATTCTAATACAAACTGTGTTAATGTGAACCAAGTCTGCCTAAATCTTTTATTCATAAGAGGTTTTGAAATAGCATAGTGTACATCACATTTCTCTGATTCATCCTAAAGCTTTTCCATGACTAAGCAAATATTCCACTTGTGCTGACACCGTTACAGGCCTCTCAGCACAGTCACGAGAGGGAACTTGCTCAAATTAAGCCAAGTCCCTACAGTTACGGAGGTGATTTCGCCATCGGCTCCAGAGGCGACCCACTGGCCCAGTTTGAGCCCTTATCTGGGCAGGTGGGTGTGGGTTGGAACCTGTTTTTTCCTCCGGCAGCCAAAGGTCTCACCGGCGAAGGAAATGGCCCTCAAATATTGATCCAGACGGGTCAGTGGCGGCTTGTTGGTAAATAGTTTGGAGTTGTGGAATGTGTTGAAACTTCTCAGATGATTTTGCGAATCAATTAAGCTTGTGCCCTTTAGGATATTTTCTGTATTACTGCTAAAACATTGTAAAACACTGTACGTAATTGTTCTGACCCACATTGCTAACTAATCTATATCTTAAGCATCAGCGTCATTTATATCTCAAGCCTCGTCTCCACGTCCTCATTTCTCGATAATAAATACGACCAAAGCCAATGTGAGAAAAGAAGCAAAATGTGGATGTACAGATAAGTTTTATACTTTTTTTAATTTTAAAAAATAAAATAAAAATTTATTTTAATTTTATTCAGCAGTTGTTATAGCTTAGGCCTTCTCACATCTCCTTTCTGTTGTATATTTAGCACACTGCGGGTATGGAATCGGTTTTGTAGACTTAAAAAGAGGCATCTGCCCAAATATATTCATAAAAATCTCACAGTATTAATAAAAACACAACAGATACATAAAGAAAAGAGGATAAAAACAAGGTAAAAGTGGTCAAAAGGTGCTTCATCAGGACTCCAGACCCAGTTCTATTCAAAGTCAGAAGGTTAAACGCCATATCCTGCGCTCATTGTAACAAACAAACAACAAAGATGGCGTCAGTTCAAAAAGGAAATAATTGAAGCGGCCATTTTTTCTGTTTTGAAGAACGTGCACCTGGATACGCTGTTAAAACCTCCACACGTTAAAGCATTGATGTCGTTATTACTATAAAACCATAATCAAGTTTTTAACATCAAAACAGCTTTCAACTGAATTCAGAGAAAAATTGGTCCCTTTGTTAATGTCTCCAGTGTGAGATTAAAAAAGTCTATCTAATCTTATCTTGTCCTTTCCCCTGACTGGCCCCGCCCACATGTACCGACCAAACAGTAGTAGATATAATATAAAATACAATAGGGGCAGGAGACTAGAGTGGAAACCAGGCTACAGTCTACAGCTTAATCATAAAACTATATTTCTGCCTGATTAAATTTGCTCATGGCTCAAAAAAACATACCCTACTTTCTGGACTATGAGGCGCACCTGTAAATAAACCGCACCAGCTGTTGTCAACATACAAGCTGCACTTGATTATAAGCCACAGGTTTATATAGGTCCTTCTTTCTTATTATATTCTACATATTAATAATAATGTCGTACAATTTACCGTTCCGCACACACACACACACAGTTGTATCCCTTAGAATATTTAAGGGATACAAGTATGTAAGTATTTTTTTACTGAAAAAAAAAAAATGATTCTGATGTATCTCTACATATTCCTGTTTGTTCGTTGTATGTCACTTGGCAAGAAAAAATAAACAACATGATTTAATGACCAGTTTAACCATTTCAACATCTATCACCTACAAAGCCTAGCCCTCCATGACCTCACTGAACTTCTACAGACCTCCTCCCGTCGACTCTGATCTGCAGACTCACATCTCCTCACTCCCACTGGCAACTCCAAGCACCGAACCTTGGGGGGCCGAGCTTTCACCATCTCTGCTCCCACTCTCTGGAACTCTCTCCCCCCTCACCTCAGAAACTCGGACTCACTAAACTCCTTCAAAAAAACAGTTAAAAACTCACCACTTCCTCTCAACATATGACTCTTAATTTCAGCACTACACTCTTCAATCCTGCTTTTAGATTGTTAGTTGTGTGTCTGTTTGAATGTGTACAGTATGTCTTGCACTGTGAAACGTTGAGTTCTTGAAAAGCTCTATGTATTGAAAAAACAATGTATTATAATTTATTTATTTTTATTATCCGCTAGATTCCATGCCTGTCCTCATTCACCGTCTATTTTGACAATAAACAAGTGCCCTATAGCTACCAAAATATTTCTAAACTCATCTAAAGTTGTGGATGAGTTGAAATGAATTGTTGAACTTGTTACCGGACTCATTTGTTTGCTTGGAATGTAGCTCAAGATGTTTTAATACGAAACATGTGCATTATTTATGTTGTACAGATGTTTTTACGGCTCAAAAGCCTCAATTCCAGGAAAACTAACAGCATTTAGACGGAACCAGGCAAAACAAAAACCAGACCCTTCAGGAAAGTTGTGCAATGCTCTGAAAACTCCATGATATGGGTCGAATTTGTTGTTTAAAAATGAGTCAAATATAAAAATAACAAAATTAACCGTGATTTGGCCAAAAACAGAAGTAGACTTTTTGCTTAACACTGCAATAATATTAGTCTATTTTAATTGTTTGATCCAGAGCTCTGGCTAAAATCTAGATTAATATTTATGACGCAATACTGGCCCGAGAGAACGTTTCTGGGAAGACAACAGAATGACGTCGTAGGATGCGTCATCAAACCAAACTTTGCCGTTGGAAGATTCCTCAAATAGATTGCATTAAAAACATTTCTGCATTTTCTTGCTGTTGTGTTCAAAAGTCTTTCTTACCGTCTTCTCTCCATATCCAGTCACACAGAGGTTATTATAGAGTTCATTTAACACACAATATCCAACTGCTAAAAGGTATATGTTGCTTGTTTTAATAATACTTGGCCGGACACTAGACTTTTTACACACATTTAAAACATACAATATCACAAACATTTACATTCAAAAAGAGTGGGATGGAGTGATATTTATATTTTCTTCTATTTATTATAAAAAGAACAAAAATACGACTTTGATTTTGTATTAATCTTACTCACATTTATAAAATATAGAATAAAAAAACACAACAAATCAGCTTTCAAAGTTAGTAATTTTCAATGTTTTCATAATTCATCAAAATCCACTTATAAAGCAAAAGAAAGTATGTGCGGGACCACTTTGAGGAGAATTCATCTGGAATGTAAGCTGTAAAGAGCTTAATTCACTGCTACATTTATCACCACTTTGTAAAACCATTTCCAAAAACCACCATCAGGACATTCCTGGGTCGAGTCGCAAAATTCTATACTATACTGCATTTTTATAGTACTTCAAAGGGGAATTGATGTGTGATTAAAATGCAGGAACAAAAGAACATATGAGCACATACTCAGACATGAATAATCACCATTTTTATTGCAATGATCAAATCGTAAATAATGCTTAAGTTCTTCGCAAACAAAAAAGGGAATGAATGTAAGAGAAAAAAACGCTTGAATTGAATAAAATGTCTCTGGTTTTGAGTTTATTATAAAGACGTATCAATTGAACAAGAGTCTTTTGTATGGTTGCCAGGCATAATCAGTAAACTTACACTTTTTAAACATTCAGGATATTGGCAATAGCATCACAATCGCAATATTGATCAGAAATATTGCAATTTTATATCATGCCAAAATCTCGCAGCGCAAACACAATACAAAGGCAGAGAGAGTTGATGAGTATTTTGACTTCATACTTTAGGAAGATTCATCTCGTCTTATCCAGGAGTCTCCAACATTTTTCCTCGGGGCAGCTACTTTCACAAACCAGTTTCTCCTTTTGATGGTTTCTTTAAAAAACAGCATCAGCAAGTCTAAGAATAGTTATATGATACTTTATTATCAGGCCACAAAATTAGCCAGCTACACTACACAGAATAGACTTTTCTCAGTGCCATGGGCGAAAGTCCTGGATTCTTAGGGAACGATCTGGAATCTATACTATACTGTGATCCAACAGGTTATTGTGGTCCATAACTAATCTCTAACCTACTGCAACTCTGTCTAATACTACAAGACATACTCCAAGACATACAAGTCAACTCAAGACTTCTCTTTATCAACACAAACGCTTAGAACCGCCTGTGCCCATCCAAGCATGCATCATCTGTTCTCCATCCCCAGAGAAAGTTAGCTATATCAGGGCGTGCTGCTAGCCCTGGCATCGGCACCAGCCAGGGGGGCACTGCGGGGCAAAACAAGCCTGTGACATGGTGCTACAAACGCCCCATTACCAAACTCAAATATCGACCCGACAGCCCAGCCCAGCCCAACCCCAGAGGCTGCAGTCTGGAGAACCATACCTGCGCCTGGGCTTGACACCGGCTCCTGTCTACATCTATCCGCTGCAGCGAACCAGGACTCCCGGTCAGCTGCAGCCTCGTCCCCCCTGCGTGTTTGACCCATAAATCCTGGGTGGATAAACTTACAGAATGCCCGAGCAGGTGGTGCACACGAAGGATCCCACTGTCATGTTGACATAAGTCGGGCCCCTCTGGTCGCAGTCGAAACATTTCCTATTCGCGGGGAGGCAGGTCATCTCCCGCAGCATCTTCAAGTGGGTCTCCTCCTGCTTTCGCTTCGCACTGGACGCCATGGTCGCGGCGGCGGCGGCGGTGGTGGTGGTGGTGGTGGTCAGAGCCGGGGGGAAAGGACGCGAACCCCGGGGAGCAGGGGGGATAGGCTGAGGTGTGGCTTTATGTGTGTGTGTCTGTGTGTGTGTCTCTCTGTGTGTGTGGAGCTCCGTGGGGCTGGAGCCGAGCTGGAGACTGGAGAGAGAGCAGGGGAAGTCGGTGGAGAGAGAGCGGGCTGGAGGAGCGCGCCCTCTACAGGATCGGAGTGGGACTGCAGCGACTGGATTTTTTGATGGCAGAACACAATTTCACATATCTTCTGAATAAAACAGGTTTGAAATGGGGTTGGATGAAGCAGATTCTTATATTTTTAACCCCCTCTCACCATTCAACACAAACATACACAGAATACAAGTCAAGGCAAGTTTATTTGTAATGCACAGTTCACACCAAAGGCAACTCAAATTGCTTATCACAACAAGATACACAAACAATCACACGATGCATTCACATAATACATTTTCACGGTACATTAAAAGAGTGATAACAATGTCATGAATCAATATACATAGTACACATATGATATTGTGCAGTACATACAGTAATATACAATAACCTGCCATAGGGTATGAGCACTGGAGATTTGTTTTTATTTGTTTAAAGTTGGGGTACCATACTTTTTCCAGTGAATAATACACAACAAGAACTTCTTGTGCCACGCACCTGTTCTGATAATTCACTACCCACTGCTATTGTTATAATTATTTTGATCATAGTTTCTGCTGCCAAAGAGCAATCTTAACCAAATGTAAATGTGAAACTTCCTGACTGCATGTTTTATCTGTTTATTATTTTTAATAATCTAAAATTCCGATTGAGAAGGACTTCAGCCATAACCCTCTCAGTCAGTGAGTTAATGTCAATGCTTCTTCTGTTGAAATGTATTCTGTAACTGACAATAGAACTGAAATAAATAATAATACTAATTACTATTACTAGAATTAAGTAGTCTGAATTTCAATCTGAAACTGAATCTTGTTGGATATGTACTGTACATTAACATTTTCCTACTGTGGGATAAACTAATGTTCTATTATCTTATCATATCCTGAGTGCTATGACATCAACAATTCCCCAGTGATGGACAAATAATCATATCTTTTTTTGTTTTTCCCAACAGAAAAAGTCTTGTTAAAGTAACATTTTGTCAACAAATCAGACCAAAACATGTTGTCCTAATCTTATCACTTTTATGTCTGAAAAAACTGACCTAAAGACGTGACAGAGGCCAAATATATATATACACACACGTGAACACTTGTAACATAAGAGAAACTTTATTCATCCCATTAATTAATTAAGCTAGAACTGAAAGCGGAAAATCATAAAAATACAGATTGTTTTTTCACTTTTTTCTTCATTCAAAAACAACTACATAACATGATTTTTTTTTGGCAATAAATACATCTAAAACATATATATTTTTCATCCAACAAACGCAATTAAATGAACATAAAAAGTGTATAAAAGCAGAATGTTTGTGGATTTGAACATCTCACTTTGTTTGTCCCTGTATCCTGGACTTTTGGCAGCGGCAACACAACAACAGGTGTTACTTGAATCTAACCCTTTCTCCGCCACCAACACTGGGGCCTTTCATGGTCCTTCCACACGGCTCTCCCACTCCCAATGAAAACACCATGATCTCATTAACATAATCTAATATCATAATTGAAACTAAATATATTCTTTCAAATGTGTGATGCCATGATGATTCTTTCTTTCCCGTTTCAAAAGGCACTGACAGTTTTTGGGGTCCTGATTTTGCGGACGGGGGGACAAGGACCCTCTTCATGCTGCTGTGAGATTTGTGACCAGACAGACAGCTTCATCCTTATTTAGTCTTGGGCTTTTTTCCTTTTCCGCTAGAGGACTCGACCACGTCCACAGGCTGAGGAGAAAAAACAGACGAGCAATTGTGAATAAAGCCACAATTCTTTAGGATTTTTACAAAACATTTTAATATAATAAGGAGAAGTTGAATCTGCTCTAATTCTGCTCTAACAACAGCCCAACTCTACCACATACAAATTCACATATTAGCCGCATTGCTATATAAGCCGCAGGGGTCAAAGGACTAGAAGAAAGAAGCGGCTTATTTTCCGGAAATGACGATACCGTAAAATCATTTTCTCAGTCAGTTTGAAATATTAAAACAAACGTCTTGCCCACTGTCGCATCCAACGGTGATGTAGCAAACAATAACCACCAGATGTCACTACAGCACATTAATTATTTTTATTTGCCACTTACCGCTTTTCTTTTCCTGGTCACTCTGAAGAAATCCTCCATCTGCGTCTGCTTACAACCTTTACTTTCCTTCCTCTCTTCTCTTAACTTCTCGCGCTTTTGATGAAACGCCGTCAGTCGATTTCGGACCCGCCCCTCACTTCAAAAAGGTTCAATTTGATCAGAATATTTGACAAATCAAGAAGAATGTGTTAAAAGCCAAAAGAGTGCTCACTTGATATTTCTCTCGTGGCTTAAGAACCTCACCACGGCCTCCTCATCCGGCTCTGTCCAGTCCAGCGCTGGCTTTTCTGTTTGTGGTTCTTCCAGAAATAATTGTCTCGCTTCATTGTATTTCCAAAAATGTGGAACGGGATGTGTCTAAAGTTAGAGATAGTTTTAGATGAGGCCCTAGAAAGTATAGGCTTAAACGTCCCATATTACGCTTTTTGAGTTTTTCTTTGATTCCCTGAAACAGTGAGTGATGATTTCTCTATTCTCCTTCGTAATCACCCACGGCAGATGTGACTCCCGCTGTGACTCGACCTGGTCTGACACAATCACGAACTTCTGTTTCACAAGAAAAAAATTGCCCAACTTTTCTAGAAACAAATAATCATAGGCCTCCAGACTTTTAAAGGCCTTTAACTTTTCTTGCGTGAAGGGTCCCGGGTTTTCTATGAATAAATGTGTCCCAGCAGATCGGTGACGTCGACTCAGGTCTCCTCTGGGCTTTGGATTTGTTCAGTTCGGTCTCCTTTACTTATTTTAGCTTATATTAATATCTTCTCCAATCTTCTTGCGTTACAGTGCTTAGAGTGCACTTCGCCCGCTGAGTCTTTTAAAAGTATTTGTCGCTCTGTCTTCTTGCCACCCAGTGAGAGGCGGATGTAAACATAGATCCTCCTATAGTGTAATAGCCTTTAGTGTAATGTGTAATAAGGGTTTAATGTGGTGTAATCATCTTGTGTTTTGAATATTTTCAGGATTGTTTGCAGCAAAGCGCCTTGGTCCACATCTATGACAAACACAACACAGGGTGCTTGCTCTTTTTCCAAATTAAAATTCCAGACTTGTTCCAGACTTCTTTTAAACTGATTTTTTTTTTCCCCAAGACCTTAACTTCATGTACTTGTATACTCGTGTGCCTACTGCCGACTTCATTGGTTGAGATTGTACCAACTCTGCTTATTAGAAATGTTAATTTTTATAGGGTAGTATTCAACCACAACAAAAATCCCATTCTTTAATAAGACTTTCAAACAAAATTCAAGACTTTCAAGGCTGCAGAATCCCGCCTCCAGGAGGTGATTGACAGGTGAGACATCAAAACACAGCCCCTTTCTTGAAGCTCCCGCGTTACTGTCACGTCGAGCTCACCTGTGTTTTGTTTTTGTCATAGACTTAAGTGTTAACATCATGTCATTTTGTGGAAAATTTTGATTTTGGGTCTAAATATGTGACAGACGTAAGAAGGGCTCACAGGGGAAGGAGCACAGATCACCTCCAGGCAAGAAATGGCTATAATTTCATAAGTTTTGAGTTTTTGTTGTACGGTGTATCATCTAAATCAGGCATGTCAAAGTCAAATTCATCAGAGGGCCAAAAAACAAATTTGCTGCGAGCCGAGGGCCGGACTGGTTCAATGTTTATTAACTCATTGCCTGCCAGCCTATTTCAGAACAGGTACTCCATATTGCCAGCAGTTTCTGATGATTTTTATAGATTTTCAAGACCCACAGAATCATGTGTGATTGATATGACTATCTGAAATCCGAAACCAGATTCTGAAAGAATGGACTGTCTACTTTCATCAGCAAAAATAATTTTGTTTCTAGCTTGTAATCCCCAGTTGAGTAGAGGGAAGTTTTACTGAAATCACCAAAAAGCTGAGAAAAAAGAGGCACAACAAGTGCATCTAGCTGTTTTCAAACCATTCAGAGAGCGCTGCTGCCACCTGCTGGCTCGATTCAATATGCTCTCAAGCTTATCCCCAAACATATTAGATATAATAGACATCTGGGAACATGAAAATAGCGGAAAACGCCATGTACAATTCATTCACTTCGACACATGTGGTCTAAATGATCACACACGTGCTTATGGACTGTGGAAAATAATGAAGAGTGAAATGTGAGACCTTTAAGAAACATTAGAAATCTGTTTTCTATATAAAGCATGTACCTTCCTGTTGACGTGTAAAACGACCTCCTCGATCGTCCGATGCTTCTGGATCAAAGCCAGAGCTCTTTTTGGACCCAAGCCAGTGATCTTGTCGCAGTAGTCGCAGCCGAGTAAAATACATAGATCTACAAACTGCACAAAATCATCAAATAAGACGTTTGTTCTCCTGAGCTTTTAACACCAGCTGAGTTCACATTTTACATTTGTGTGTATTTAATGCTGTTTTCCTTTCCTACGAGGTTCTCTTACCTCTTTTTGGGTGATGTTGAGTTTGCTCAGAAGTTTCACAAGGGAATACTCTATGACTTCACTGTGAATATCAATCAATCAATCACTTATTTGCATAGAAGAAATTGTGTACAAGGCATATTCAAAGTGCTTCACAAGAGAAATTTCAAAACACAGATCAAAATGCATTAAAAAGTCAATAAAAATACAATTATTTCATTTTGAAAATCGAGCAGCATAAAAGTATGGGGTTTAAAACACAGTAAAAAAGCGGGTTTAAAAAGGGCAATAAAAATATAAAGTAGTACAAAATAGAATCAGT